TCTCTTGAAAAGTTGGCAAAGTGGCGCTTGTGATACTTTGCCGGGAAGGTGACGACCTCATCTTAAGAGAGATCAGAGCTAAAATCCCTACTTCGGAGGAGTATTGCTATCTGAATCCTTTTAGAACAGGAGAAAGTGTGTCGCTTTCCAATCAGTTTACGAATTTCAGACTTTCCAGCGGGCTGATTATTGAAATTGATAGACAAAGCAATAGACAAAGGAGACATAGGGAACATAACGATTCTATTGTTAAACGGGTGGTTGTTATAGACTAAGAAGGAAAATTATAGATTAGCTACAGGGTATTTCGTGGGCTGTCTTTAGTTAGTCTATTACTTACCTCCTATGATTGCAACCATCTGCTTCCGCAAATAAGATCGCTTTATTTTCAGTTTGCGTTGCTTGTCTATCGTTTTGTCTATAAATTTCTATATTTCCCAGCAGGAGCCTTTTGGACACAATTTAAACGAAGAAGATGATGACAGAGTCCAGATGATTGTGATGTGTTCCAATGCGTGTTGTTTCCAACAGAGACAAACACAATATGAATTAAGAGCAAAAAAGACGCGCATTCATGACGGCGCAGAGATACAACTATTCGTGCTTGATGGATGTCCGTGTTGCATCTGCGAAATTGAAGGCGCGATGGTGCAAGGCGTGATACTCGCAATGCTCCGCTCTTTGCTGCCGATGAGGTGTCGCTCGATGAGGTGCGATGAGGATTCGGCAGAAAAGTTAAAAACGAGGCCTCATTACGTTTCTCCTATCTTCGGCTGTGTTGCTCATGTTACTCTAAAAACACCCCACTAAAAATAAAACAGACGGAACCAATATAATATAGAAATAGGCTCGGAAAATACGCGTATTGATAACGGCGCAGAGATACAACTATTCGTGCTTGTTGGATGTCCGTGTTGCATCTGCAAAATTGTAGGCGCGATGGCGCGAGGCGTGAATTCTCTAAGTATGTCTTGCTCTTTGCTGTTAATGAGGTGCCGCTCAGATTAGGGAGAAAAGTTAAAAGGAAGCCTAATTACGTTTCTTCTATATTCGGCTGTTTTGAACCTCTATTCTTATTCTTTTTTTCAATTTAACATCAGATTTTTTTAGAAATCTGTATCTGAACCTTCTGGGCACCGGCCCCATACAACCCACAGGGTACGTGTTTTTAGCAAACCTCGGGTTGATTTGATCCGGCCTGGGCATCTAAGGGTTAAAACCTTTTGAGAAATTAACTTTATTTAGTTTTAGCCGATATTTTGAACATTTCAAAATTTTGGAAAAGTAAATAACACAAATAGATCCTCAAAATTTAATTTTTCCCAATTTTTTCTATCTATTTGGGTGCGGTTTCAAAAGCACTATTTTTGGGGCAAATATCAGGCAAGTACTCTTCTCTTCATACTGTATGCTTCCATAAAGCTCCTCTACCTGTGACCGTTTGGACTGGGTCAAGCAGATTGGAACCAAGCCACATCAGCTGTTGTCAACTTTAATTGAACGGTTTGATTTTTTACATGAAAACAGTCGTACGGTTTTTTCGCAAATATCGATTAATTTTCTGCACAGCACGAAGCGAATCCCTCAAAATGTTCAAAAAAATCCGTATGAACGATCTGGAAAAAAATGAAATTGTTTGATGAAAGTCGGCAATAGCTGATGTGGCTTGGTTCCTTCCTAAACGCGCTCAATTTCAATTTGACCACTCAAGGTTCAGTTACACGATCAAATTGAGCCATCAAACTGAAGCTCTGATTGGTGGAAAAAGACCTGAGGTGAGGATGCGACCAATGAGAGGCCCAATTTGATGGCTCAATTTGATCGTGTAACTGGACCTTCTGATTGGTGGAGGTCAGTCCTCGCTCAGTAAGGCCGAAGTAAAAGGCCCAATGACTCGACGACTCCATATCCATTATCCATGTTCCATTTGCATAAAATCAGAATTACTCCGTAAACCCGACAACTTCATCGGAGCATTTCGAGGGGGAAACATGCGGGGCCGAGGAGGGTTTACGCGGGTTTACGATTCAATGTTTCGGCTGGACCCGCGCGTCGCCAGTGCCAGGTTTCCATCGCAGCATATTGTCTTCATCCATCAAATTATACGAGAAAATATACTCAAGCTAATTAGCCGGATGCCTGAAAAGAGTGCGCCGCGGGGATCATCGAGGGAAAAAAAACCTTCCTGTTTTCTCGGGCTCCGTTTCCGCCGGTCTCAGTCCGTGGTTTCGCCAAGAAACTGTCGTCTCCTAAACTCCTCCGCGCGGTATCAGTTACCTGTTTTTAGAAGAAGAAATTAGGGGCCACGGGAAAAATGGTCTTGCCACGGTTAAAGTAATGGGTTAACCATGGTTAACCGGTGATTAAAGTAGCGTTTTTTTATTGTAACATCTATATGGAAGCATATTAGACACATTTTTTTTTTTTTTTGACAATTTAATTGTTAAATCAGCACGACCATTTAATTCCATGGGCTTGGAGAACAAGGTATTCATAAGTGCAGTTTTTTTTTAAAAAAAAAATTGAGATACCTATTACTATATTACTGATTTCAATTGCATGTTCTGTGAAAAATTCGCTCCCAAATCCCAATTTTTAAGCATCTGCAGAAAGTTAGTTAGAACTTTCTCTCCGCCATTAGGACCCATGCAATTTCGAAACTATAAGCACTTATGCGCCTTGTCCTCCAAGCCCCTCAAATGAAATCATAGCGTGCAGAACTTGGAAAAATAGTGAGATTCATTAAAGTAAGATTTCCGCGTAAATCAGGGAATCCATCCAAGAATCAATGGAAAAATTTGATTCCAGCCAAAATCTGCCATCAGATACGAATTCCTTGTTGAAAACTATCAGGAAACCGTGTATCATACATCAGAATCGCACGAGGGGACGCATTTCCCCTGGTTTTGAAATTTCAATGTGGGTGGTCAATTGGTGCACCCGAATAAGTGGGTCAGGCGTGGAAAAAACAGATAACGGAGTCAGGCGCCGGCGCTTCTGCAAATTCCTCAGCCAGCGTGGCTCGGCACTCGGAAATTGGGAGTATCACCAGACAGACTGGCGACAGAAGATACGCCATGGAAGGTGCAGTGAGGGAGGGGAGAGAGCTCGGCGCGTGGTTCACGATTGCGTCACCAGAGAGCGTTGATCATTAGATAGTAAACTCAAGTGCATAATTTCTTATTTTCTGTCCAGTAATGAATAAGATTCAGCTTATGGTTGATTGTATTAAATTTTTGAAATATATTATTACACCAAGTATGAGTCTAGCAATTATCATTTGCCAGCGATAGAAAGTAAATTAGGGAAAGAAGTAAGAGGCAGTGGAGGTCAGGGGTCGTAGAGCACTAGAGAGCGCCATGAAGCTACTTCCATGTACGTGAAATGTAAACCTCCTTATAGAAAGGATTTAGAAGTGCAAATTCGTTTAACGGGAACATACTATTGTTACTCTGACGAGAGGGCGTATCCCTAAGTCCACATGAATCCCGGAAAATATGAAGTTGTGAGGATCATGCATGAGACATACATAGAAATTGGGGTACGTCCATACGTCAGAGGAGCGACAGTATAAAAGGCATCACTACTCGCACTGTTGTGTGTTTCCTTTCTCCTTATTATCTTATATGGGGACGTAATTAATTAGGTTGGGGGTCAAGGGGTGTCTGAAGGGTGGCTTACGGGGAGAAGGGGGGTCTAAAAACAAAACAAAAAAACCTGAGGTAAGTATACACGGTCCTGAGGGATGTACGGAGTGCGATTCTGTTGAGGTCTACTGAATTTACTTTCTTGCGTAAAAGGAGTGGATTTCGTTAGATTCTTGTGTATGTGACAATTTTTATTAATTTATTTTGTACTAACTTTCATAATAACTATCCATTTCTGATAAGAATTAAAGAGATTGAAAACAAACCAACATCTTTTTTTCTGAGTTTTTAACTCTCTTGGGGAGAGTCTGTCTTTTTTCCAAAAAGTTTCTGCCAGAAATGGCGCTTCGGACTTTGTTCGGCGCTGGTCGCATCGCGGGCTTTTTTTATGTTTGTGCTACCGTCCAAGTACCTCAGTGTGACTAGTTTGTTTTTGGCAAGGTGCATTCCAATGAGGATCTTGTTCCCGATGGGTAGCTGAAAATTAAAGCGGACACTGTTTGTCATTGACTTAATACACACCCTAAAAAGTATTCCTCGTATGACTAGGAACAAGAAAGAATGGCAGAGGTCTTCAAGCTGTTTTGATGATAGGTTGATAATTAGTGGAATTTAAAACAATTCTTAAATATTTAAAAAGAGAAATTCATTCCTCTCAATTTTAGAGGAAAGTCTCTAAAATGTTTAGTACGCTAATTCAGGTTCATGAGAAAAATTTCAAAGGCTCTCTCACTGATATGGAGAGAAAAATCGTCTCTCATATTTATATTGTCTGTCATCGTGACAGGTGATTTTCAGTGTAAATCCTACATATTCTAAATATTCAATAAAAAACCTTTAAACTTTCAAACTGAGAGGAAGCAGTGACTAATTATTTCAACGAATCTTTAAGTATCACGGGGCCTTTAAAAATACGTACTGTTCGATCCTTACGATTTCCAAAAGTCTTGTTTGGTCTGATTGAGATGGGGTTTGATTTGTCGGGATGGGGTAAAATCAGGCATTAGCAGCATGTATCATTTGCTGTTATTTGCATATGTCATTTGAAACATTCCCGCACATAGTTCACATTTTTACTTTGACAATCTTTCTTTACCTATGCCTTACCATTCTTTAACCTCTAAATGTATACTTTATGCTAAAGGCAACTGTGTGCGAGTGAATTTAAGCAAAAGCTACAATAACGCACGAGAAATCTGTGCATATGGAATTCCTTTTGATGTGATTCATTTGTTCGAAGTTACTTTCGAGAAAAATAAGTCCAACTTCCTCCACTGCTATCGGTTCCATGAATATAGAGAAGTGAACGATAAAGATTTAATTTCCTAATGTAGAAGTAACATCAGTTAAACCACCCGGAAGGAGGCCGAGGGTGGTTTTTCTGTAGCATGTAACCTTTTAGTTTAGTGCCCTCTAAATCCAAACTTCGCGGCGCAATCTCTCGTGATTAGTCTCTCCCGGTGAGTTTAAGCCGAGATATGTCCTCTGCATGTTTGTACACTACCAAGGCACATGTCTAGGTACCATTTCATGAAAATTTGACCCTTTAGCAATCAAAACTTGTAACATTCTTAATGAGAATCTCTTTGATCAAATGCAATATTTCAAGCTCCGCGGTGAAAATTTTGGGTTTGTTGAAATAATGAGCCATTAACTTTCTTACATCTTCAAATTGGTAAAGTTTTCTAACAGAAAAAGTGGGCGTAAAATTAACGTGGAAGAAGATGTAAGGGTTACGAAGATCGCTATTCTGCCTTCAATTTTCGAGGTAGGCCAAACAGCATCCTCCAAGTAGTAATAGTTGCCTATGGGAATATTTCTGTCTTCTGTTTCATGCAAACGAGCAGAAACAAACGAATGTGAATAAGGCTACTGACTTTTTGGTACCCTCATAGAGAGGAGCTTGAGCTTTTTTAAAACGGAAATGCCTACCATTTTGAGCTTTTCTTCGAATACCCGCTGATGACCGTGCTTTAGGATATCCTCGAGCGCCACTTGCGCTAATTTTTTTTTGTCGGTCATGACCCTTATGAGGATACCAGTGCGAGGACCCTTTCCGTTTGGTAGCTCTGGTTCTTTCGTGATGATGATGAGGTTTTGGCCTTCCTCCTTGTTTGGCAGCATCTCACGACCGATATACTCAAATTTTTGGGAGTAGTCCGCGAAGACAGCCAACATCCGAATCCATTCTGCAGCGCCCTCGATAGTGGGATCGTCGGTGATTAGTTTCGACATGGCCATGGCTAAGTCTTTGTACCTGGAAGACCAATGGTTGAATCCTTAAGTTAATGATTTTTTCCGATCTTTATGTGTATGTAGGTCGATTTATGGCACTCCCTGGCGCTCTACGACACCTAACCTCCACTGCCCCTTGTCGAACCACAACCCTTTGGGCATCGACCACCTTAACACTTCTGCTTCAATCCCATCCTTCCAACCTCTCATTGGGTGCCCTCTGCGCCTCCTCCCAAGAGGAATCCAATCAAGGGCCCTCTTTGGCAACCTGTCTCGTGCCATTCTCTGAACATGACCATACCAAATGATTTTCGATTTTTTTTTATTAGAATTTTGATTTGGTCCGTATGGGGGACTGTACTCAGTACTGTCACAGGTTTAGCAAGCCTGCGGACCCCAGCTGGTAGCCCCTGCCTTAAAGGGGGGTGGAGATGGTCCCCGGCTTCATGGCGTATGAACCACTCATCAGAGGGGCAGACAGGGCTCATAGCTGTGGTGAAAGCAGCCTGTCTAGGAGACGGTACTCCAAAATCAAACCCTGGTCCTCCAGGTTGGGGGTTGGGGCATCGGGCTAACTCCCCGATACCCGGAAAAAACTTAATGTTAAAAAGCCTAATAAAGATAGCCTCGGTGATAATGGAAAAAAACGGATTTTGCGACACAAACTACGGAAAAGGACAATGGTTTTTGGGACATGGAATGTACAGGGCATTTCTAATAAATTGACAGAGGTTGTATCGGAGGTAAAAAAGTATAATGTAGATGTCGCCGTGTTAACAGAAACGAAAAAGAAAGGCACAGGATCAGAAAACTTAGGATGTTATGATCTGTTCTATAGTGGTGTCAGTAAAGATCAACGCGCACAGCAAGGAGTCGCCATACTTATCCGGAAAAGTTTGCGTCCGTCTATAACTACTTGGGAAGCAGTAGACCAGCGGATCATCAGAATGCATCTTACACTGCATGGTCACAAGGTGGCCCTGTTAGGAGTATATGGTGTGAATGATGATGCTCCCGTCAATCTAAAGGATCAGTTCTTTGAGCAACTCAACGACGAGGTTCTGAGGGTTGGAAGGACAAGGGAGGTCATTATCATGGGAGATTTGAATGGTAGAACCGGACGAAGGAATGGTTCTAAAGTTGTTGGACCTTTCGGTGAAGAGGCGATGAATGACAACGGTGCACGCATCATTGATATGTGTGAACAAAACGAGTTGAAAATACTGAACGGATTCTACCAACATCGAGATATCCATAAGTACACGTGGGTTCAGCAAACTCGGGGGCTGAAGTCAATCATCGACTACGCGGTCACCAGGCAAACGAGTACCATGAAGGTTCAACAAGTAAGAGTTTGCCGGGGGTTCTCCTGTGGTAGTGATCACCATTTTCTCAAGGCGGAGATTGCATTTCCGGTTAAGTATGGGCTGCAGAGGAATACCTTGCAACATCAGAAGTGCCAGCCACAAGGAACGAAGATCGAACAAGTGCACTACAACATCGATAGCTTACAGCATGAAAGCGTGAAAGCGCTCTACAGGAAGCGGCTGGATGAGAAACTGGGAGTAGAAACTTTCGATACTGCAGAAGAGTTGTACCAGTTCATCAAAAGTTGCATACATTCAGCTGCGAAGGAAGCCCTGGGTATGTGTAATGAGAGCAAGGATGTACAGAAACCCTACTGGTGGGACAAAGAGGTAGAGGAGGTAATTGAAGAAAAGCGTAGGAAGTACCATGATTATCTGGCTTCTAGGACTGCAGACACCCGCGGCGCGTATAGGAAAGCCCAGGCGAGGGTTCGTCTTTTAATCACCAGGAAGAAAAACGAGTCTTGGGAGACCAACTGCTCAAGGATTGACACATACCTGGGGGGAAGGAAGAGTGCTGAGAGCTGGAAGCTGATCAAAGGCCTAAGAAGGGACATGAAACGGGACATTATATCTCCGATAACAATCTCACAGCTTGACGAACATTTTAATAAATTATTGACGGAAGGACGACCAGAGTTTCAAACGGGGAATGCTGAAAATATAGTCGAGGATCACTCAATGGAAATTCGAGTTGAGGAGGTGGTCAAAGCAATCAGGGAATTGATGAATGGAAGAGCTCCTGGGCCAGGAAACATTCCAGCCGAGTTAATTAAATGTGGGACTGGCAAGTTGGTTAACCATCTCAGGGATTTGCTGCAGAAGTGCATTGACGGTGATGACATCCCGAAAGAATGGAAAGAGGCCTGGATAACAGCGTCGCATAAAAAAGGAAGGAAGGATGACTGTGGGAACTACAGAGGGTTAGCGGTGACAGGAACGATAAGTAAAATTTATGGAAAAGTGCTGAAAGCGAAGATCGAAGAGGAGTGGACCCCGTTCGAGGCGGAGGAGCAAGCAGGTTTTAGGGCTGGTCGGTCTACCGCTGATCATCTGTTCTGTGTTACCCAGTTAACCGAAAAGAAGAGAATTGTTGGCCAGGAGCTTCATTTAGTGTTTTTGGATATTGAAAAGGCTTATGATAGTATTCCTCTTGTGAAACTCTGGGAAGTCCTAGAAGAAACTGGTTTTAGTAAAGGACTTATTGGGGCAGTCAAGCAGTTTTATCGGGGGGCTTTTGCTAGAATTAAGTGCCAAGGAAGGCTTTCAGACGGTTTTTTTGTCACCAAGGGGCTTAAGCAGGGATGTTGTCTGTCACCGACGCTGTTTAAGATATATCTAGAGCACGTTCTGAAGGAATGGAAAAGAAAGTGTGCCGGCATGGGCGTCCCTCTAAATGACCAAGAAACACTGTTCACGCTATGCTTTGCTGACGACCAGGTAGTCATAAGTCAAGATCACGATGACGCGGAGTATATGACCCGGAAGTTGGTGGAGGAGTACCGCAAATGGGGCCTCGAGGTTAGTGTCCGTAAGACAAAAAAGATGTCAGTCGGAGGTGCTCAGCAAAGCATAGTCCTGGAGGATGGTCAACATATAGAAAGTTGCGAACAATACAAGTACCTGGGGGTGAACCTGACTTCGGATGGGAAGCTGGATCAGGCCATTCGGGACCGTAATCTTCTAGGAAGGAAAGCCATCGCCATGCTTAATGGGATCCTTTGGGACCAAAGGATTTCCAAAGACAACAAGAAGAGGATTTATAACTCGGTTGTCAAGCCTATTATCACCTATGGCAGTGAAGTGTGGCAGTTGAAGAAGCGGACCCAAGAAATGCTCAAGGCGACCGAGATGGATTTCTGGCGAAGATCGGCTGGAATCTCGAGGAGAGAACGTGTCAGGAATGAACGTGTCCGAGAGATAATGGGCGTTGAGGGGACGATTGTGCACGATATCATGACCAAGCAATTGGTATGGTATGGGCATGTGCAGAGAATGGCTGATACCAGGTTGCCGAAGAAGGTGTTGGAGTGGGTCCCCCCAGGTAGGCGACGGAGAGGGCGTCCAGCCAAACGGTGGGTAGAGGGCATCCATGAAGAGATGGAGAGATGCCAGCTTCCGGAGGATCTCTACCATGACAGATTCCTGTGGAGAATAGGCGTCGCAGAGCGCCCTAGCGCGCCGTAAAAGCGGCTCATACATACATTTTGATTTGGAAGCGACTTACGCGCTTGATGAAAACCAGCTCCTGAGGCAGGAGCAGGGGAGATGAAAGGAGTGACCAAGCCTCAGTAAAAATAAAAAGCAAATTGTCTACGACTTTTTTGGGTGGTATCAACCCCTCTGTCAACCAGAAAATTTCAGAAAATGATAATTTCCTTTTCTACGCACTATCCCCTCCCCACCCACCTGCTACCTCCGGAGTTCATTCGGGCATATTCAGCTATTTCTGCGGATGACGTTATCAAGACACTCTTTGATGAGGTCATCAGAGTACTTATCGATTACATCACCTGGATAGTCTTTGATAGTCTTTGGGATGAACACCCGTTGATTTTCCCTCATTGCCTCCCTAACGACGTCAGCCAACTGTTGACGTGGTGTCGGAGTACCACGACATATGAAGTCCTCAAAATTTACGTAAACATTATCATCATACAAATATTGTATGTAAATGTGTTACTGCCAATGTCGACAATGACTGGCCAATGTATACATGGGCCAAAATGGTTGATGATTGTCGACAGTGGTAGGCCAATAAGTAGATTTGGCCAAAAAGGATGGCCAATGTCGAAGAAAATATACATATCGGTCGGTCATTGTCGATAGAAGACACAACCACAAATGCTGAAAATGTGTTTGCAACTTTTTCCGTGAAATATCCTTCTTGAGTAATAAGAAGTGGATCTACCCAGATTTATCCTGAGTGAGATTGAAGAGCGATTGGATAAATGCCCCTATGGTGACTTCGGTGAGGTTGTATTTGCTTTCGAAGAAGAGCGGCGTGTAGATAAAACCATCGAGGAGACCGCGAACCTCGTAGTTGGGGATGGTGGCTGAAAAGACTTCCTTGTTCCGCGCCACGTCATACCAAGCGGAGAAGTAGCCGTGGTCGGTCAAATACTTCAACAGCAGCTCCCTCTGCGACATGAGCGAGTCAACGTCCTTCCCTTCGTAAAAAGCACGTGCCTTCTCCACGAGCCCCACGATTGCCTTGACTGAGAATATCCTCGAGAAAGGATGCCCAACTTTAATTCGCAGTAATGTGCCGTAGGACAAAGCTCTTCGTACCTTTGGAATTAACAGGACAAAAAAACGCCTCTGAAAATGTGTGATAGTGACCGCACTGGAAAAAAAAGATTGGATCTGGAGTCCAGACTCTTAAAAACATGGACAAGAAAAAATACTCTTGATGCAATCAGTTTAGGCTTAAACCAAGCCTCTTAATTTGAGCGGATTTCCTTTTGATTTAAGCTTGAATCTGATTGAATCAAGAGTCCTTTTTCTTGTCAATGTTTTCAAAAGTCTGGACTCCAGATCCAATGTGTTTTTTTTTTCTAGTGCGGTGCATTACACAGAGAAAGAAAATATTGGTCTTATGTATCGCGGAACGGTGTTGCTATTCGATTCATATAAACGGCATCACAATTCGGTTTGGTTCTGGTATCCGTATCCTGCAATTGAGATCTTTCTACAGTTTAGTTCATGTTACCAATGTATACAGTTCAATTTGGTTTAGAGGCTCGGTTGGGGGCCATTCAAGTAATACTCTTTCCAATTTTTTGACCTCCCCCCTCCCTCCTTATAACGCACCCGTAACACAGCCGTACATCCCCCCTTTTAAATTACGTACGATTTACCTGGCCTGATACCTCCCCCGCCCCCAAATTTTTAAAAAATGTGCGACACGCATTGCGTAGGCTCGGTCATGCGCCGTGAAGATTCATTCGAAAGGGCAGGATTTTCAATTTTTTGCAAGTTTTTTCTGTCCCCCCCC